CGGCCTCAACGAAACAAAGGTATAAACAAGGTAACCACAAAACATGGCCACATCATCCATACAGCACAACAGAACCTCATCGGCCAAAGGCCCATAACGTCACTAGCAACGGCCAACAGGCCACTAGAGGCAAGGACACTCATCGTCCTCCGCCAACAATTAATCTTGACGGGCTCTTCGGCCAAAAACACAAAGGAACAACCTCAATGGCCTCACCGGCCCAAACGTAAACTTCAAACACCAACGGCCAGGAAAGGGAAAGCGCGCCCTCAACGGCCACCATTGAAGGAAGGACACTCATCGTCCCAAAACACATTAAGGAAATGACGGCCTCCCCGCCCACAGCAAGGAACAGGTAACGGCCAATGCACAGAATAGGATCACCAGAGGAAACAACGCCAACGCCACAACGGCTAACGGCCTGGAAATGCCCGCGTCGGCCAAAAGCAACAAAGCACAGAAATCTACTCTCCTTCACTTCGTCTACATCTCAGCTTAGAGAGTGGGGGACTCCTGATGGAGTATATGGGTCTGAGCCCCAGGACCCACATACTCGGAAGAACAGAGCACAAGACAGAGTGGCGCCCTCGTCGGCCAAACGCCCTCGTCGACCGAGAGGAAGCCAACCCGGATTATGATCCCGAGTCCAAGGAACCCGGGTGCCCCCGTCGGCCATGCCCTCGTCGGCCGTGCCCTCGTCGGCCACGACCTCGTCGGCCACGAGGACCTCCCAGAATCGGATCCTACACTTACTCACTCGTACAGCCCATTAGTGGCTTTGTATTCGGCCCAATAGCGGTCCAGTTGTAAATGGGCCTCCCAAGCCCAAGGCTTGGGAGCCCAACCCTAATTTTCTCTATAAATACTCCCCTTGGGAGTAGTTATAGGGGTTACAAATTCATTCTATTGAAGCATATTATTGCACTTCTCTCTCTAGCTCTCACTTCTCTCTAGATATACTCTATCACACTCGTAGTTGGTTGTAAATGGCTTTGAGGACGATGAGAGTCCTGGACCAGAGGACGTTTGGGCGCCCTTGGCTCTGTGGACGATGAATGTCCCGCCCTTGTCCCTTTGACTTTAGTTGATGGATCTTACGCTTGTGTTTGTTGTGTTCGCGATATGGTCGATGCATGTCATTGTCCTGGAGACGATGCGTGCCATTGGCCTTGAGGACGAGGAGTGTTTTTGACATTGAGGACGATGTGCGTCCTGCCTTGAGGACGAGGAGTGTCCTTGACATGGCTGTGGACGTTGAGATACCATTGTCATAGGCTTGTGTTCGTTGCATTTTTGAACTTTTGTTTATCTTTGCGCTGGAGGCCAATGTAGTCCCCCAGACCTTCGTCTGGCTGATGTAGGCATGGCCGACGAAGGCACTGGCCGACGGGGGCACTACTTGGTAGTCCTTGCTTTGTTGTTGCTTTCTGGATGTTTGCATGTATGTGGAGGCTGATGTAGTCCCCCAGTCCTCCACTCCTCGACGCTCATGTAGTGAGGTGAAGAGGAGTAGAGCAATGCACGTATTCAAATAGGGGGTCGTGGGTCGACACCTTTTGATCTATAATGGGGTGATGCCTCGTTAAAAACCTCATTAGGAAAAACACTGTGGGAAAAATCCTAATGATGGAAAAAGAGCACACCGCATCCCCCAAAATGAACTCCAAGGGGTGAACCCTTCGGCCTAGGTGTGGAGTTGCAGCGGTGTCCGTCTGTTGGGGGGACGCCCGCCTGGTGGTGAGGACGACGACACTGATGAGCCGGTCCGAATATGAGGATGAGGTGATGGGTGCCTGTCTGAATATGAGGACGACGGTGGTAATGAGCCGTGCGTCATATGAAGGCGACAGTTGCTATCCAGGAAGGGAATGGTGAGCCCGGTGGCTATAATAGTACCTCGGCGTTAGGAGCCGATCTCGAGATATGAGGACGATAGCACTGAGGGGTCGGTCCGAAATCCATGCAACGGTCGCCATCCGGTAAAGGAATGGCTAAGACCGGTCTTTGAGATATGGGATCATGCAGAGGCTGTGGGGCCGTTCATGATCTGAGGACGAGGCGATGATGAAGCCATTCGTCAGGTAGAGACGACGGTCCCCATCCTGGAAGGGATGGAGAGCCCGATCGTTGGCTCAAGACACTCGGCACTCAGGAGGCCAATATTGAAATGAAGGATCACGTCGAGACTGAGGGGTCTGCCGTGACCTGAGGATGTACGGCGATGAGGAGCCAGTCCTATAATATGATGACGAGGTGTTGATGAAGTCGTTCATCATGTAAGCTCAAGGCTCTCGGCGCTGAGGAAGCCGACCTTGAAATAAACAATCACGCCGAGGCCGAGGGACCGAGTGTGATTTGAGGATGACGGTGATGATGAAGCCGCTCATCGCATGAAGGCGAGGGTCGCCATCCAGGAACGGAATGGCGGTTCTGCTCGCTAGCTCAAGGCGGCCGGCGTTGGGGAGGCCGATCTTGAGATGAAGGACAAGGCGTTGGACGCCTGTCCAAAGTTGAGGATGATGACACTGATGAAGCGCGTCCTTGGATGATGACGACGTTAATGGGGCCATTCGTGACATGGAGGACCAGGCTTTCACCCTGGTTTCGAAGATGAGGGGCGGTATTGGACGCACGTCCCTTGATGATGATGATGGCGTTGACCGTGGTTCGAAGATGGACGTTGCTGAGGACGTTCGTCCTTTGATGACGAAGGCTTTGATGACGTCGTACGCCATATGAAGGACCAGTCCTTGACGCCGGTCTAAAGATGAGGACGACACTGATGACCCGTCTCTCCTTTGCTTGAGGACGAGGCATGGGCACTCGTCTGAAGATGGACGGCGTTGGACGCTCGTCCAAAGATTAGGAACGACGCTGATGAAGCCGGTCCTATTTAAGGACGAGGCGTTGGTGCTCGTCTGAAGATGGACGACGTTGGATGCTCGTCTGAAGATGGACGACATTGGATGCTCGTCCGAAGATGAGGAACGGTGCTGATGAAGCCGGTCCTGTTTAAGGACAATGCGTTGGCGCTCGTCTGAAGATGGACGACGCTGGGCGCTCATCTGAAGATGAGAGACGGCGCTCATGAAGCCGTTCATCTCATGAAAGATGACGTTGGACGCACATCCTTTGATGACGATGACGTTGATGAAGTCGTTCGTCATATGATGGACCAGGCTTTGACGCCGGTCTAAAGACGAGGACGGCACTGGTGAGCCATCTATCCTTTGATGAAGGATGGCGTTGGATGCCTAAAGGTGAAGGGTGGCATTGGACGCCCGTCCCCTGATGACGACGGTGCTGGTGAAGCCGTTCGTCTCATGAGATACGACGTTGGACACACATCCTTTGATGACGACGGCGTTGATGAAGCCGTTCATCATATGAAGGACCAGGCTCTGACCCTGGCTTGAAGATGAAGGGCGGCGTTGGACGCTCATCCCTTGATGACGACAACGCTGAGGAAGCCGATCGTCTGAAGATGAAGGACGGCGTTGGATGCACTTCCTTTGATGATGACGACATTGATGAAGTCATTCGTCATATGGAGGACCATGCTCTGACCCTGGCTTGAAGATGAGGACAGTGTTGGACGCTTTTCCCTTGATGACGACGACGCTGATGGAGCTGGTCGTCTGAAGATGAAGAACGACATTGATGATGCCCGTCCTTTGATGACGACGTCGCTGGTGAGGCCGTTCGTCACATGAAGGACCAGGCTCTGACCCTGGCTGGAAGATGAAGGGAAGCGCTGGACGCACGTCCCTTGATGACGATGGCGTTGATGAGGCCATACGTCGTATGAAGGACCACGCTTTGACGTCGGTCTGAAGATGAGGGACGGTGCTGGGCGCTCGTTCTGAAGATGAGGGACAGCGCTGGGAGCTCGTCTGATCCGCATGTATGGTCTTGCTTCGTCCATAATGCATAGTATTTGCCTAATATGTACTTAGCCAAATATGTGGCTTGATTTGTGAGGATTTTATTTTTATCGCTCGAGGCCGGTGAGTGCACGGTCCTTTGGCTGTCCCTCTTTTATTTTTGGGGATTTCGCTCAAGGTTGGTGAGTGCACGGTCCTTCGGCTGTCCCTCTTTTATTTTTTGGGGATTTTGCTTTAGGCCGGCAAGTGCACGGACCTTCAGCTGTCCCTCTTTAATTTTTAGGGATTTCGCTCGAGGCCGGCAAGTGCACGGACCTTCGCCTGTCGCTCGAGGAGTGGTATCCTTTTTTCAGGCTTCGACCGAGGGGGTCGATAGTCCTTCGGCCGGTACGGAGTCCTACTCGGTCATCCCGTGATCTAAGGGAAGTCCCGTCGTCTATTTATGACGCGGGCTAAGGCTTTTGGTCGGTTACCGACGACTGCAATTCCTCATCCCTGAGTTTGGGGATTTTTGTCACCTCGGCCATGATTTAAGACATGTCGTCCTGCAATTTCACGAATGGATGACGCGGTGAGCTTCCCATTTCAAGACGTGGGCCGTTTGCGGGCCCATCGTCCTAGGGACATCGTCAGCCTTACCTAACGTCTCGCTCTAAGGGGTCAAAACGATGTGCTCTGTCGGTCTTTCCTGAGCGTCTCGCTCTAAGGGGTCAATATAAAGTGATGTGTCGGTCATACCTGAGCCTTTCGCTCGAAGGGGCTGATGCGACGTGCTTTGTTGTGTGGCATCCTTTACTTAAGCTTTACTTGACTTCATATTTAATGCATAAGTATGAGAAAATTTTGTGGCATTTAGCTGGTACTTGGGCTGAAACCTGAGCTCCTTAGAAGCCTGCTGGAGAGAAAATCGACTGGGCCTGCTCTTTGAGAATCCAGCCATTGGGGTTGATAGAAGGCCCACAAGCTGTTAGCCCATCATTTTAATTGATCCGGTAGAGTCTCAGGTACCTTTCAGTTGCTAATTTTTTTTTTTTATGAAATGTAAGTATATATTAACACCCAAAAGAAATAACAAGTCAATGTTACAGAAAAGTGCATATCCCGAAAAGGAATACCACAACATCAAGAAAGAAATTATAAAAAATCAACAATATGAGCCCAGAATCTTAGGAACACATAAAACTCAACAAACTAGTTCCCTAAAAGGAATATCTAGTTTAACATCCAAAGAAAACATGGAAAGGATTAGTAAACTTTGCGGCAAAGCAGACCTCCCCTTTCTTCATAGTAAATCCCGGCAAACTCTCAATACAATGATCAGTGAAAGTTAGACCCCTCTTATCCAAATCGTCCGTAAGTCTAAGAAACCTATCCACTCTAGTTACACTAGCTTGGACGTGTCTAAAAGGTTTAACCAACAACTTGAACTTCTTAGCATCTATGATCTCACACTTAATGACCACATCATCTCTTCTCAGCCCATTTTCTTTACTCACAAACCTCCCCATAGCTGCAATCTGGTCAGAGGGTCCGGTTGGGTCAGGAACAGCCTCCTCAGCAGCAATAGAACCTCCGGTCGAAGCTGCAGACGCAGCAGGAGCAGTCTGCCGCTGAAACCCGGGCGGGTTTTGGGGAGACCCGGGCAGGTTTGGGGTTTTTACCTGTGACCCGGTCGGGTGATGGGGGAGCTCGGTCTGGTCTATCCCCAGGGCAATTTCTGCCAGAGCAGTAGTAGCAACAACCTCATCAACTTTTTCACCTACAACATCAAGTTTAACCTTTCCCTCATTTACCCCGCCCCCACAGTTTGTATGAGCAGTCACCTTACCGTTTATCCCCTTCTTCACATCATCTGTAATCCTCACTTTTTCCTTCTTTTTCCATCCCAATTCGTTGCAAATAAAGGGGTGATGTTCATAAGATTTGCAGTGAAAGCAGAAAATAGGAAAGGTTTCGTAAACAACAACTTGTTTAAAAGTCTTTCCCGATGGTAACCGGATAGGCAAAGAGAGGCATGGTGCCAAGGTAATGTCCACTTCAATCAACACTCTCGCAAAATTGTAGTTTGTCATCTCTTGCGTGACCTTGTCCGTAGTGATAGGAACACCCACCTTTGATGCAATCATGCTCAATGCCTCTTCATTCCACAAATTCAAGGGTAAATTGGGAAACTTTACCCAAATAGGCACCTTAAGGAATGCCTCATCATCAAAAGTGAAATCCTCAGATAGCATTTTCAGAAAAAGTAATCTACCAAGGATATTATAAGGTCCTTAGATAAAAACCTTAGTTCTATCCTGCTCATTCTTAAATTTAAAAACCACCCATCCCTTTTTATTAGATTGCAAAGTACAATGCACACCCCAGCTATTCACAAGCTCATAAATCGCTTTAAGCCCCGGGAATCTACCTGTGAAGCATCCAACAAGGCAAAAACCCCACAACGAGACCATAGAAGGTAACACACATTTTGAAAGATCAACAACTTCATTATCAGAAGGTAGGTATTTTAATTTAATACCTTTAGATTGAGCACGATTGTCTCTAAATAAATCTGCCCATTTTGGGTTAGTTCCAGCAGGTTTGGAAGCAGAAGCTTCATCGTTTGGTCCAGGGTAAGTGGCCATTTTCCAAGCAGCAGTTGACTTCTCTGCAGGAAGTGCAAAGGTCTGAGCAGCAGTTTGCTTCTTTGCAGCAGGTGGTAGTCCTACTGCTGTAGCATCCTTCTCATTGACAGCAGAAATCACAGGATATATCGCACAAATCAATGGACGAAGCAAGACCATACATGCGGATCAGACGAGCTCCCGGCGCTGTCCCTCATCTTCAGAACGAGCGCCCAGCACCGTCCCTCATCTTCAGACCGGCGTCAAAGCGTGGTCCTTCATACGACGTATGGCCTCATCAACGCCATCGTCATCAAAGGACGTGCGTCGATGCTCGCTGGTGTCTCTTGTGGACGAGGAGATTCCCGTCGCCCCCGTCGGAATCAAACCGGCTGCCTTAGCTGTCGCGAGGCCAAGGTGGAAGGCTGCGTCCAGGACGGGGTGCGTTGTTACTTCCCCGTCGTCTGGCCGGGAGACCAAGAGTTGGCCGACGCGGTGGACGAGGGTCCTCTGGTCGAGAGTCCACCAATTTGGCCATCGACGGTAACCGGGGACGACGGGATGACGAGGGGTCTCTATTTTGTTTTCCTTTGGTTTGAATTTTTGCAGGTGTTCGATGTGTTGGCCGATGGTGCACCGCTGGATGAGGACTGCTTCTAGGACGAGGGTGAGGTCTAACCGACGGTCACTATGGAATTGTGCCAACGTTTTGGCCGATCCGATGACCCAGAGCTCCTGTCTTGGCTTAGGTGAGGCTTTGCCGAGGTGAGCGGACGGGGCATTGGGACAACCCTCCACCTTGGACGAGGTGAAAGCCACCGTTGTTTCCAGGACGAGGGGGAGATCTGTGCTACGCTCTGTTGAGGCCGAGGGATGGTGGGGTCCTCGTAGAGAAGGTACGCTGAGGCGCATTCCTTGGCCGAAGAAGCTGCCACTCCCCGGTTTTGAGTCACTGATGGGATGGGGACAAGTTTTTATTATTGTCGTGGCTTTTGATCTGACCGAGGCACTACACTGGACGAGGATGGCGTCCATTGCTGAGGTGCTGCCAGTAGCCGGTGGAGGCCCTTGTGGTCTATCATTTTGGCCGATGGGTGCACTACTTGTTTCCTTTTTAATTGGCCGAGGACGTCGGTGTTCCCGGGATGAAGGGTGCAACATCTGACCTACCATCCGTCCATGTTTTACCGATAGGATGCAGGCTTTCCAATTGGACGAAGGGTGTTGTTTGTTTTGTTGCTGACCTTGGCGGGGGTGGAGCCACTCGTGTCTCCAGGAAGAGGGATGAAAGACCCGTCTCACCTTGTGTTCAGGTCCGAGCGAAGAGCTTCCTTGGCCAGACCGCTAGAGGAAGTGGAAGTTGACCAGCTCACTGCCATGGTCTTGGGCGAGGGGATGTTCCAGGCCATTGGATTGTTGTCTCGCTGATAGAGCCGAAGGACACCTTGGGGCAGCGACACCATTTTGAAGCACGTGTTCAGTGTGTCATATTGCTCCTAGGCCGAGGGGGCATGTTGTCCCAACTAGGGCCGATGTGGTACCATGTTATCCATTCATGTGATGTGTTATGGGTTGGGAGGATCTTACTTGATAAATTCTAACTCTCAATGAAAGCACCAAAAGATAAATAATTGTTTAGAGAGAAGGGAAAGCTAGAGAGAGAAGTGAGTTGTATTAATTATTTTCGAACCCTTTACATGGCTCCCAAGGGGAGTATTTATAAGAAAAAGTGGGTTGGACTCCCAAGTCTTGGGCTTGGGAGACCCATTACAATATAGAGCCTCTATTGGGCTGATTATATTATTAGTCTAGTCCTATGAGTTCCTTCTGGCCGATGGAGGCATGGCCCACAGAGGACAAGTCTTCTCCTTGGCTTCTGGAGCGTATTCCGAGTTGACTCTTTTTCGGTCGATGGGGTGTCATCTGGCCGACGGAGGGCCCACTGGATGACAACTGTGCTCCTCTTAGTCTTCTGAGTATGTGGGTCATGGGATCTGGACTCATATACTCCATCATCCTACTTTTTAGAAAGTCCCTAAATTAAAGTTCTACTTTCTCAACTTTCTTATTTGGTAAACAAATTTATACAAAACACCGTCAAACAATGTCGCTAAAGTGTGATATCAAACTTATTTCCTTAATATGTGTGAAGTCAAACTAGAACGTTGTTTCAAGGACAGAGGGAGTGCTTTGTATAAACCATTCACCTTATTAATTTAATCTTCTACAATGGAATCTGAATTTTAACTATTTTTTAACGACAATGATATAATTTTAATCGGCTCTCTCTATAAATAATATGACTGGTACATGTGCACATGTAAATGCTAGGCATGCTCAATCGTCAAACTGAAACATATAGCTCATGAAGATTTATATGATAAGGCCATAAAATGTATAGGGGGCGTTTGGTTCAACAAATGTCATATTATCATGGGAATGTCAGATTGCTGGATATGTTAGATTGATGGGAATATATTCAATTTATTCCCATTTGTGTTTGTTTGATTAAGATTAACTCCGCCATGAGATCATTTTTTGGTATCATGTCTGTCCCAAGTCAGGATAAAGGAGGAGGGTGCTGTGGTAGGCGCTTGACGGCCAACAGTATCACTTAATCACATCACATGACATGAATCGAAATATGAATTGTTGTGTTTGATTAAGATTAAGGGAATGCGACATTACTTTCTTTGGTTAAAATATATCTTATATTACAGATATAATGTATTACTTCAATTCCATTTAAATATTAAAATATCTTAATAATAAATAAAATCAAATCTAATTGAATTTTTGTTATGTAGTCTTATAACATAAATACCTTAAAAAATTTAAATGTTAAGGAAAAAAGAATTATGAAAATAACAAGAATAGACATTCGAATATAATTAATTAAATAAACTTACTCCATCTGTTTCACTTAAAAGGTTGTCACGCAATCTAGATATTCAACTGACTATAAAATTAAGAAATAATGACAAATATATAACATAAACGAAGGTAATGGACGAAAATATGACTTAATGACTATAATAGTAACTTTATTGACCATGATAGTGTTCAATTTTACATCATATTGACTATGCATATTACCGTAGTAATGTTTTTGTCCATAACTTATATTTTAGTAATATTTAAGGAAAAACCTCTAAAATTAATTGATCCCTGTCAATAATAAGATTACTTTTAGTAAATAAAATTTACATATTTAGAAACTACATTAAAAGTTTTATAAAATCACAAAAATTCAAATTTGATAAAAGTTGAATACATAGAGAAATTAAATGAAAAACGATAATTAAGTGAGGATATTTTCGGAAGAAAATTAGATAATCCCGGGGAATGTCAGATAACCTAAGGCATGGAAGGGTATAGCATTCCCTTCCATATTACATTCCCGTGAATGTAACTTTCCCAATTTTTTGTCAAAACCGTGAACCAAACATGACATCACATTCCGGCCTCAATGTGAGATAACCCCAAACCAAACAGACCCATAGAGTAATAGAGCTATCACTTTCCGACCATGATAGTGTTCAACTTTACATCATATTGACTATGCATATTACCGTAGTAATGTTTTTGTCCATAACTTATATTTTAGTAATATTTAAGGAAAAACCTCTAAAATTAATTGATCCCTGTCAATAATAAGATTACTTTTAGTAAATAAAATTTACATATTTAGAAACTACATTAAAAGTTTTATAAAATCACAAAAATTCAAATTTGATAAAAGTTGAATACATAGAGAAATTAAATGAAAAACGATAATTAAGTGAGGGTATTTTCGGAAGAAAATTAGATAATCCCCGGGAATGTCAGATAACCTAAGGCATGGAAGGGTATATCATTCCCTTCCATATTACATTCCCGTGAATGTAACTTTCCCAATTTTTTGTCAAAACCGTGAACCAAACATGACATCACATTCCGGCCTCAATGTGAGATAACCCCAAACCAAACAGACCCATAGAGTAATAGAGCTATCACTTACACGATTACACCGTTATTGATGTGGTTTAGGAATTAGGAATTGGGTTGAGATAATTGATTTTTTTAACCCGGAAGGCAAACCACCAAAATCAGAGGGGCAAATGCCGAAGAACATTTACCGAATTTTATTAAAATAAAAGACTAAGTACAAATGAGAGGGGGGCTAGACCAAAACCTCCCAAAAGAAACATACCACTTCAACAGAAGAAACAAACAATCCAAAAATAAAAACTTAAAATCACCTAACGACGGATTCCAAATAAATTGTTCAGTTTAAACAAAACGAAAAGAAGGGTAACCAGCCAGATCCATATAGTAAGCCCCTTTCGCCTAGATATTACCTCGATCTATTCAATTGGAAATTTGCAAATTTTAATTGATACATGAAATTAAAAATAAAACTCATATGGTTTAAAGTTATATAAAGAAAAGTGAAATAAATAGAATCACAAAATAATTACTTTACAACATACCCTAAGAGAGGTTAAATGGGTAATAAATGTCCGCACTTTCTAGCAAATTTGACACACTCAGCTCACTAGGGTCTACAATCCTATTACATCGGCCCCATGGACTCACACAAATAACTATTTTTTTTTTTGATAATCCAGGTGTCGGGGCTTACGCTCCATAATTCTGGAGTCTATGAGCTACCATCCAAAGCCCCTAAACAATTAAGTCCGGATCTGACCACAGTCAACCTCATCAGTACTGGCTCCAAAGGACGAATCCAGCAGGACGCTAACGATTTAAAGATTGTGAAACTGTAGCTTGATTTTTATGTATTTACTTTCCCACATAAAAAACAAAAAAAATCGTTTTAGGGTAAGTAACAATTTATTTTTAAAATACAAAAAGAGAAGTAGATATTGATTATCAAGTACTCCGTATCTTGTAATCTGATAATATTAAAATGATCTTATCAAAAAACATGTCATAGGTTCGAGTCCCAATACAATGAAAAATTCAGAGTACATATTAAAACTAGTGTAGAACAAATAGTTAGAATAAATGGAGTACAAATAGTTAGAATAAATAGTTAGAACATATTAAGAGGCCGTTTGGCAACCCTCATTTTTGGCTTATCAGGCTTATCAGCCAACTTTTTTACCAAACACGTAAATTTTACTTTGACGCGCTGAATTGTGTAATAAGCCGAAAAAGTAAGGTTGAAGTTACTTTTCTGGCTGTATTGGCTGAAGTTACTGTAGATGATCATTTTAGCTATTTTTACATATAATTTTTTCTTTATTTTATTAATAAAATATATTTTAAAAATATTTTTCTCTTGTATAAGCAGAATCAGCCAATGCAGCCACTTCTACCAGAATTTCATAAATTTCAGCAGAATCAGCCAGAACAGCCGATTTTCGTGCTGCCAAACGGGCTCTAAAACATGTCATAGTTAGAATGAAATAGAAATTTTAATAAATTTAATAAATGAAGGGAGTACACTTTTTACTGTCATATACTACCTACGTTCTCTTTTAAATGCAAAATGAGATTTTTGCACTATTGTTCTACTTTGATCCTATTTTCTTTACTCCGTAATAATATATGATAAATTAAATTTTAAAAAAATATTGTTAAATTCTTCTCATTTTAAATTTTCAAAATCCATTTTTTTAATTTTTTACTAAAAAAGAATAAAAGATATTAATCACCAAAAAGTATTGAAAAATGTATAATCCACCCCACACAAATGCTTGTTCCTACTTCCTAGTAAAAACAAATGCTCCCCATAACATTTAACAAATGCTCCCCATATATTGGCCCATTTTTGGCACCGAAAACATGCCCTTAACATTTGTCCACAAGTTTTAGCAACCTTATTGCACGGTCCAAAATTTATGGCGTCAATACAGATTTCTGAACAAATAGTATGTCTCTATCTCAGCTACTGATCGGTCACCACTTTCAATTCTCACAATACTTTTTGGTGCCATGATTATTATTCCACTTCCACATTTATTTCTTACTTTCAAATTGTTCACATTTAGTCCGTGACCATTATCCCCTCACCACCCTTCGTTCTTCCGGCCAAAATTTCGCCAAATTTAGTCCACTTCTCAACCTCAGAATCAGTCTTTGCATTAAATTTTGTATCAGGTTGGGTTTTTCATATCAATCTTTGCATTAAATTTGGTTTTTTCATACCTAAAATCTGCATTAAATTTTCCAGAATTTTGGCCGGAAGGACGAGCGGTGGTAAGGGGATAATGGTCACAGACTAAATGTGGAAGTAGTATAATAGTAATGAGACAAAGGGAAATTTTTTTCCTTTCTTGATCCAACACAGGACTTGTAGCTGGTGGGATTTAATTTACTGGCATATCTTATCAGTTATTGTGCTCAATTCGAAAGGTTTGACGTAGCACCGTAGTATTTTAACGAATGAGGTAAATTATGGACATATATTTAACTACATATTAAATTACTCCTCACTTTATCAGTTAAATCTCATCCTTTTGAGGTTTCCTAGCATCGATTGGATATATAGTTAACTACAAGATGTAAATTGGATTTTAATCATAAATTGATAGACAATTAGTGAAGTTCTCGCTTTAGTACTTGTAGAAGGTTTTATGCATTTTAATATAGTAATTTCTCATCGCAGTTGTCGGGATTCGAATGCAAGAAGTACTCCATTGTGGCACCCCTACCTACTAGTTTGTTGAGCTACCCCCACCGGCATTGTGCTCAATTCGAAGTGTAGAAGCCCGTTTAGTGACTCTATTTTTCGGCTTATCAGAGTTATTAGTCATATTTTTCACCAAAACATAACTTTTGAATTCACGTAATAAATTGTGTAATAATAAGAAAAAATAAGGTTGCAGTTACTTTTCTGACCGTATTGACTGAAGTTACTGTAGATGATCAGTTTACCTGTTTTTTCATATATTTTTTTCTTTATTTTATTAATAAAATATACTCCGGTATTTTAAATATAATCTTTTCATAAATTAACAGAATCAACCAATTAAGCCACTTAAGTTAGACTTCATAAGTTTGATAAACCAAACATGAAGAGTGATGTAATGGATGATGAAATGACAACGCAAAATTTCGAAGAATTTTTAACCAATTGAGCGGCACTATTTCACTAGGTCAATCTTTATAAAAGTCGGAGAATAAATAATCTGAATGAATTATATGAATTTGAGGACATAAAAATAGGGAATTGTGAGCTCAAAGTTGTCAATTTACAGTATGAATAATTTAAAATCATTAACAAAAAATCTAAAGACCATGATTTTTTTATATATTTTCAAAGGTTTAAATGTTATTTAGTTGTAGTAAATAAAACTTCTGTGAAATTGTTTATCCAAAATTAGCTGTAAATTAAATAATAAATTAACTAATTAAAATCTATTATATCAATACTTTAGTTGATAATTTTAGACAATCATTCAATCTCTATATTAACAGGTTTATGAGTTGATTAAATTGCTAAATTGAATATGAAAATGAAACATGACATTTTTATTTCTACAAAATCAATCTTATTTTCTTCTAAATATAAATTTTGTTAACTCCTAAAGAGAAACAAAAGTAATTAATAAAATTTGTTTTTAAAAACAATGAATATGTCTTATGAAAAAATATACCCCATATGTCATATTTGAAAAAATATGTACCCACACGAGTAGATCAACTATGGTGAGCGAGGCACTTGTGTTGAGCTCTCAGATTTAATTCACGATAGCACGAGTATGAGTGTTTTATTCAATGTGATGACTCCTTGTGCACAATGACGATTCCACCTTTTGGGATGATTTTTTTTTTACAATGATGAGTTTTATCTAAAAAATAAATAAATAAGGTTAACAACTCTTAGTTTTATCTAAGACAATGGGTATAATAATTAGATTAGAACATTATTAAGCTGAATAGTTCAACAACTCTACCTTATTATTTCCTCACTCGTGATGTCATCATTTCTCTCTATTTATATGCTTCAAACAATTCAATTCTCAAAACCAATATAAAGCAGGCAAGCAGCTACCATAGCAACATATACATTGAAGGGGAGAGGTTCAAGAATTATCAAAACAGGGAAGAAGAGATCAATAAAGTGAGTAATTCCACTGAAATTGGTCAAGTTTAATTATTTATAGAGAAATGCAAGGAAAAGAAATAGAAGTTGCATATATGGGTGAAGAGAGTGAGGAGTATTTACAAACAGTTTGTGTTCTTGATGCATCCACCTTTGTGGGCTACTGGATCTTGAAGAAACTCCTCCTTAAAGGCTATACTGTTCATGCTGCTGTCCAGGATACTGGTAACTCCTTTTAAACTTACATATATATTTCATCTCTTTCTCAAATAACTCTAAAGAAGAAAATATGTTCTTCCACAAGTTTGACATCTAATTTTGTTACAAACTGATAAACAGACATGGACTGTTTTTTATGTAGTTAATAAGAATAAAAATGGATTTTTCTGGAAAAAAGTGTAACTAAGTTCTCACTTACTCATAATTAGGGTAATAGGTTTTTGTTTTTGGGTTTCTCTTTTTGCCCCTACTTTGCTGTTCAGTGCTTAAAAGAAAGGAAATTAATGTCTTATTCCTCTTAAAATTTTCTTTTTTTATGGAACAATGAACTTAATATGGAGGTATGGGAACTAGATGTGTGATCATTTATTTCCTCGAATTTTATGATTAGCTTTATGGACAAATAAAAACTATTTTTTTCTAATTTGTTTTGCTTCCTTGATTTATAGATGATAATTTATTTATAAAAATAATGCTTTTAGTTATTAATGTCTTAATGAACACTTCGTTAAAGAGCAGGGAGAGTACCCTTTTGGGTTTTAGTATTCAATAAGGGGCTGTTTGGTACTCACCTTTTGACTTATCTGCATTATCGATCAAATTTTCTTGAAAACGGAAGTAACACGGAGGGTAAAAATTTCTACCTTTTAGTGAAAGTAGGAATTAATGGAATTCCTACCACAATTGTTTATATTTTATCATTCTCCTTAACATATTGAAAATACTTCTTTATACAGATCTTTTGCAAAGCTTGGTTATTCAGTACACAATTTGATGACAATATGTTATTTATATGCATAGACATTGAGATTAACAGTTTAATTTATTTTATTCTGAAGGAGAGAAAGAAATTATAAACAAAGTCAAGGATTTGCAGAAAACAGTGAAGGAGAAACTGGTGATATATAGTGTGGATGTGTTGAGTTACAGAAGCATTGTTGAAGCCCTTAGAGGCTGTTCTGGTCTTTTTTGTTCCCTTGACAATCCAGATTGCTATGATGTAAGCTGTTTTTTTAATCTCATTAAAAAAACATCTTTTAGCAAAACAGAAAAGGAAAAAAGTTTTTTTTTTGCTAATATTGTTGCCAGTTAGTTCTGAAAAAATGTGAACTCAATAACTGAATCAAGTAATATAATTTGTTTTTGTTTGCCTTGTGCTGAGTTTGGGCACATTTTTAAGCACAAATCTTAAATTCTAATACGAACGGATTGATACGTTATGGTCGATTTAGATTTTATCCATTTGGTTTCGGTCAATTTGTTGGTAAACTTCCATTTATCAAATTTTTGAATATCTTTTGGATTCAGTTGTAGTAAATGCTGATACTAATCATTTTTTATTGAATTGTGGATTTTTATAGGAAATGGTTGCAGATTTAGAGGTTAAGGGCATAATCAATGTGATGGAGGCATGTGCACAAAGTGACAGCATACACAAAGTTGTGTTGACCTCATCTTTAACAGCAGCCATTTGGACAGCCAACATCTCTTCTCTCAAGGGTGTGGATGAAACCTCATGGAGCAACACAGATTTTTGCATAAAAAATAAGGTAAAGTAAGCCCCAAAACATTTATTCATTTGAGAATAAACTGAACTTTTATGATGACACTCTTCTTTGGTTGAATGTTCTAGTGTGGTTTGACCAATAGTGCATTATGACATAGTTGAATGAGACTATAAGTCTATAACTAAATCCTTGAGATCATATTACAGCTTTTCTTTTATCTAAGCCACTATGTTATCCATGACCTCTTACGTGTCCCCGCTTAGGTTGTTAATGTTGGGTGTGTCTCGAGAAAACGAAGAAATATTAATTAATAAAAATAATTAATTAATTAAATAGCCAAAGAAAACGAGAAAAAGAGATGAGACATAATTTAGACAGAGCTCGTGCTACGCACGATGTTCTTAAAACGTATTCGTCGCCTCCCACGTTGTTAGGAGCGTTGCAACGACCGTTTCCCAGGATACGGTGCCTAACGAACTAACGTTTGAGCACACAAACGAGAGTTCCGGCGAACGAGAACAAAGGCAGAACTCTCAGGAATTTTCGGAATAGCTGGAAGTGTTTTAGAGCTCAAAATACGTGAGGAATGTATTGTGTGTTGTGTTGTTGCAAACCACCTACCAACTATTTATAGGAGGATTTGTTGTGTGTTAAATGTAGTGTTAATGGACCTGAACGTTGAACATCAATGACCAATCCGTTGGGCATTGAATCGTCCATAAACTGTCCATTTAACGCAGTATTAAAAGATAAGAACGTTGGGCATTTATTGCTGTAACGGACCAGAAGACCTCGAGCGTCTCTGTTGCGTACAGAAGACCTCAAACGTCTCTGTTGCGGAGCAGTTCTGTTGAGAACAGAACCCTCTTCTGGTCCGGACAGAAACAGAGCGATTCTGCCAGCTTGGAAAAATAAAGGAACGTTACGGGAAGAAACCAAAACTAAATCGTATCTTTGAATGATAGATTTTCGGACGACATTCATGTCCGCAGGTCGCCCGCGCACCGAGTCGTGATTTTTCTTCTCCGTTTCGGGATTTGATCGGCACTCCCCGCGCATAAGAGAGAGCATTTACCTTTAGGAATCTTAACTCCTTAAAAGAGGCTTCCCTTTTTAAGGGGCTGGAAATCCCTTGAGTTTTCCGGTGTGGTATAAAACACACTAAAAACCCATCATTTTCTCAGTTTTTCCATTTCATCGAGTGAAATTCGAGAATCAATTTCTCATTCAACCGTTATCCGTTTTGAGCGTACCATATATCGAATTGTAGCCCTTAACAAGGACAATCCGAAACCACTTTGACCCGACCCAAATCGGAAGTGGACCCTACTCAAATAATTGCCCCAAAATGAACATTTAATGCAATTTTTAACACATTTTTCCAACGGTTAACACAACCTTTTACCTCTAGTGGCACTCTTAGACTACAATTAAATGTTTGGTGTGAATCGGTTTGGTCTGGACCAGTCTGATATGGTTTTTGTTTTATATCATCTTTATTTATTATTTAAGTCTGATATATTATTTATTATAAACTACTTGGGCAGCTATGGTATGCCCTTGCAAAGACAAAGAGTGAGCAGGCAGCATTGGCACTGGCTATGGACAGAATGGTGAACATGGTGTCCATAACTGCGGGCCTAGTGAATGGGCCCGGTGTCGCTCAGCTGAGCTCTGCCCCTACGCTGTCGTATCTCGAAGGCGCGGCGGAGATGTATCAAAATGGAGTGTTGGCTGTGGTTCATGTTGAGTTTCTTGCAGACGTTCATATTCGGGCTTTCGAGGATCAGTCCACTTGCGGGAGATACTTTTGCTTCAACACAACCGTAACTTGTGAGGAAGATGCTGTTAGACTTGCACAAAGTTTGACTCCTTTGATTCCCTTACCCCCTGCAAGGTATTCAATTCCCCTTATTCTTCAATACTCCATTCCAAAATGTATTTCATGTTCATAGATGTTGTTGATCTCTTTGCATTACCATTAATAATTAATACACTAAAATGATAAGAAATAATTTGACTTCCAAAAACAGAAATACTATGTTTTTTAAGAATTAATGTCATCCTGAAACGAGACATTAATATCGCTGTGCGATGACATTCATAATGCTGTATTAATGTTTGATCGTTTCAGGATAACAACACCCCGCTCCTATTTTCGGGAAAAACATACAAGTAGTTAGGCCTTAGTTGTAAACTTGTAAAGATAGTACATTTTAGGAGGTACAATTTGATGTTAATTGTAGGTCTTAGTTATAATTTGATGTTAATTGTAGGTCTTAGTTATAATTTGATGTTAATTGTAGGTACAAATGCCAATCAAGTGAGGTTTATGGAGAGAGATTAATGACCAAGAGGTTGAACAAGCTGGTAGAAGGAGTAACAGCTATTGCATGTTAGGAGGATTCAGTTCCTTCACATGCTAATGAAATTTAGAGTCCATTCCATTGGATTATTACGCGTGTATATGTTTATCTCATGATGATTAGAGAGCGTAAATGGAGGAGGCTTGTCATTAATAATTTATTCTGTTTTTTATTGTTAAGGAAATTAATAATTTGTGTTTGGTAATACTCCCTCCGTCCCCCTAATATTGGTACGGAAGGGAGTGTTTTGATTTTTAAGAAAAGTAAAATTATGTGGTTGTAATGAGTTGATAAAGTGGCAATAAAATAAGAATGAATTAGAGCCACATAAATGTTACCAATTGTGGTATGAGACAATAATAAAGGGACATCCAAAAATGAAAAAATAGAACAATTATAGGTGAACAGAGGAATAATTCGTTAAGAATAAAACATGTCACGTTCGTAGTTTTGTCTTACATAGAAGACGCTTTTAATCACAAACAAGATAAGTAGTTAATGGTTCTTATACGGAAAAGGTGAGTCATTGTTTGAGGAAATACAAGTCAACTTATTTTTTTAATACTGGTATTACTAATATTAAATTGCGGGCATAAACGTGATTAAAATTAACGTAATTGAGTATACAATCACGATTTCATGTATGTGAACTAAACATAATTACCAGGGAGATTTACCCAATGTTTTTATTTGGACTGTAATTCCTATTCCTCCATATCAACAAATTTTAAAATTCCAAGTAAAAACATCAAAACAGGACTAAAGTTTTAAAATTCCTCAAAAGAGTAATTATTTGTAGTTAGACAAAAATACCCCTAAACCTTGATAGAACATATTGTCCCCGACAGACCGCCGGACCAGCCCGCCACATCCTCAAAACTAGCCACCCCTGCAGATTCGTTCGCCGTCGCTACAGATCTGGACGTCGACGCTGCAGATCCGGCCGCCGTAGATCTAACCAGAGTTGGCCGCCGTTGGCCACCGACTGCCGCCCTTACAAATCCGGCAGCCACCGCCGCAAATTCGCCCACTGCTACTGCAGTTTTGACCACCATCGCCAATGTAGCCAATAATTTTAGCAGATTGCCAACATGAACGAGAATGCCATATTAATGGCATTTTTAAAAGAAAATAGAATATTTTTGAAGAGTAAAAATGCCGTTTTAATGGCATTTTCAGAGAAAATTTTGGCAATTCTAACAAGAAGATGGACATTAGATCTACGAACAAACAGAATACTGGAAGAGACAAACACAGAAGATGAGGAGGAAGGAGGGAGAAGAATGAGTTGCTTTACTCCACCTACATATCTGGATCAGAAATTGCTACTGACTCCCTCGTTGCTCACCGATGCTCGCCCCCACTCGTCGTCGCCACTCTCTTCCGTCACTCGCCGCACCAGAAAACTTCATTGTTGCAAGTTTCTAATCGAAGAAGATGAGAGTAGAAGAAAACTCACCATTTTGCAACCTGAAATATGGACCGGATGTGAGAGGATTAGCTGGTGTGGGGGGGGGGATTTAAGAATCGAAGAAGAAACCCTAACCTACCGGGCATGAAGAGACGGAAATAAAATTTGGAATAAAAACCTAAGCTGATGCGTGGAGAAGGGAAAGGTTTGACGGAGGAGAAGGATGCACGTAGGAGGGGTAAATTTGGAATAGTTGTCCTATTTAGGGAATAAAATTTATCTACTCCTATTGAAAATTTGAGCACTAATTCAGTCACACAGAAGGCAATAAACCCTAATTATCATCATAGAATTTAGTTCAAAAGAGAACGCTATGCAATCTAAGTAAAGAAATGAGGAATCAATCTGTAATGTTACTGATGGAGTATATGGGTCTGAGCCCCCGGACCCACATACTCAGAAGAACAGAAGACACAAGACACTGAGTGGCGCCCTCGTCGGCCAAGGGACCCCCGTCGGTCGAAAAGGTGCCAACTCAGATTATGGTCCTGAAGCCAAGGAACCCGGGTGCCCTCGTCGGCCGCGCCCTCGTCGGCCGTGCCCTCGTCGGCCACGCCCTCGTCGGCCACGAAGACTCCACAGAACCGGATTCTACACTCACTTATTTGTACAGCCCATTAGTGGCTTTGTATTCGGCCCAGTAGCGGTCCAGTTGTAAATGGGCCTCCCAAGCCCAAGGCTTGGGAGCCCAGCCCGTATTTTCTCTATAAATACTCCCCTTGGGAGTAGTTATAGGGGTTACAAATTCATTCTATTGAAGCATATTATTGCACTTCTCTCTCTAGCTCTCACTTCTCTCTAGATATACTCTATCATTTGGTGCTCTCGTTGAGAGCTAGAACAATCAAGTTAGCACCCTTCGTCGCTACCAAGCGCGGCTAACCACCGATCATGGGAATAACTAAGTCAAACCGCAACCTCGTCGGCAAGGCCATCCCTGAGGACCAAGAGCCCAGGGAGCACGATGAGGACGCCACGGCCGACCAGGTCGGCGGAGGGGACCTCTTCCAGGAGGCCTTCAACCTCACGACCGACCTCCGCAACCAACTCAATGGCGGAGCCCCTGATGCCCGCCTCGGCCTGGACAAAAAGCGAGCTGAGAAGACGGACCACGCCCCGGCCCAGCCTATGGCTGAGGCCTCCCCGTCCGTGGATCCACAGGTCCAGGCCGCGCTGTCGGTCATCATCGCCAGCCTGGCTCAGAACCCCACCGTCCTCAGCGCACTCTTGCCAAGGACCGGGGGGAACGTCACTCAACCTCCTCAGCCTCGACCGTTGTCCGTCCAGATAGGCAACAATGAGGGGGTGGTGCCCCAGGACACGGCGTCGTCCCACTCCCACCCTGCTTCCCCTCTTCGGCCCGGGCAGACCCCAGCGCGTGGAAAAGCCTCTGCCTTCAACAGGCTAGGTGACACGCGCCGTCGTCCGGTTTCGGAGAGGATGGCGGGACGGATTGGTGAGCCTCGTCCTGGCTCGCCGAGGGAAAGTTTGGGGTCTGTGTCCCGGACAGCGGACCAGCCCCGCCCGGACAAGGGCAAGGAGAAGTTGCACGAAGACGACGTGCGCCACCGGATCAATGCGGCTCACGACGAGCGCATGTGGAACCAGCCGGGCGCCGCTGCGGCCGCCAGGGACCCCCGGGATGAGGTCATCGCCCAGCTGGAAAGGAGGCTTGCTCAGATGGAAGCCAAGTAGTCGGCCAACATCCCTACGGCCGGCGCCTCCAACGACCCCGGCCTCAACGCGCTCATGAACAAGGTTAGCGCCCTGGAGAGGGAGCTGGCCGAGGGGCGAGGTGATCCCATCATCCAGGTCAGGACCAGGACCCCTTTCACCAACAGGGTCCTCTCGGCCCCCATCCCGGAGAAGTACAGGGGGAACGCCATCAAGTCCTACGACGCCCGATCAGACCCCCAGGAACACTTCAGCTGTTACCAGAACAACATGCTGATGGTGAACGCGTCCGACGAATACCTCTGTCGTTGGTTCCTCTCCACTCTCGAGGGGCCAGCCTACGAGTGGTTCAACGCGCTCCCCGAAGGGAGCACCGACTCGTGGCAGGATCTCGCCCAACGCTTCCTCACTCACTTTGCCGGGAGGAAGCGTGCGAAGAAATATTTCACCCACCTCCTCTCCGTAAAGCAGCAACACGAGGAGTCCCTCCGGTCATTCATTGATCGGTGGACGAGGGAAACCGAGGAGGTCGAGGGGGCCGATGAGCGCACCCTCCTCGCCTTGTACCAGGGAGCCCTCCGCAGCTCCCCATACGCTAGGAGCCTCCTTATCACCGACCCTCCGAGGTCGTACGCCAAGGCGCTCCAGCGCGGGGGATTGTACGCCGACGCCGACGAGCTCCATAATCACAAGAAAGAGGGGGGCCATCCCTCCAAGAAGACAAATCCTTCGCCGGCCCCGGGTCCGTCCACGGCCGGCCAGGGTGCCCAGGGCCGTCACGGCTCTGGTGGACAGAGTAAGAAAGACCGCCACTGGCGGCCGAGGTTGGAACGGCCGGGGGTCTCCCTCACTCACTTGGTCGGCACCATCCTCGATTATGCCGAGAAGCACGACCTCATCGAGCAGGCTCCTCGGCCGGCCGAGGAGATCCTTGCCATCCAGCAAGGCAGCACGTACTGCCGGTTCCACAAGAACTCGTCGCACAACACCGACGATTGCATCACACTGAAGAAGGCCATCGAGCGCCTTATTCGCCAGGGGGAACTCTCCCAGTTTGTTAAAGGTGGCCCACGCAAAAACACATGGGTAAACACCGGCAAACATGGGGGCGAACCCTCTGCGAAGAAGCGGGAGATTGGTAGGCTCAGCGACGACGAGGACTTCGAAGAGCCCCCGCCAAAGAAGAATCACATTCACCTCATCGTAGGTGGAAACACTGGGGGGACTCCGCCACTCATAGAAAGAAATGGTCCCAATCCCTCTACATAGGGGAGGTGTCCCACGTTCCCCCCCAGCCGAAGAAGCAGCGAACGGAGGCGATCACCTTCACCGACAAGGATTTGCCTCCGGGTACGGAATCACACAGGGATGCCCTCGTCATCCGGTGTGAGATCGGTGACTCCATCATCCACCGCACTTACATCGATACGGGGAGCTCCGTCAACGTGATGTACCTGGATACCTTCAGGCAGCTGAAGCTGGACAGAGCTCTACTGAAGCCGATCAAGACACCATTATCCGGCTTCACCGGGGACTCCATCGACGCCGAGGGCACAATAGTCCTCCCCGTGGAGGTCGGTGACGGCCCCCACCACGCCAAGGTTGACATGGATTTCATGGTGGTCAATCTCCAGTGCGCCCACAACCTGATCTTGGGGCGGCCAGCGCTGGAGGACTTGGAGGCCATCATCTCCATGAAGCACCTATGTCTGAAGTTCCCCACCAATGACGGCATCGGCTACGCCAGAGGAAACCAGAGGATAGCCAGGGCGTGCTACCTCAAACTGACGAGGCCGGCCGAGAGGGAAGGCCAGAGGATAGACACCATCACGGCAACCGTTGCCAAGGACGAGGAGAGGCCACATGCGGAGCCGGCCGAGGAGGTCGAGGAAATCCCTCTGGACACCTCCCGGCCGGAGCGGGTTCTCAGAGTCGGGAAGCAACTCCCTTAGGACCAACGAGACGCCATCCTCCTCGTCCTACGGTCATATGCTGTTGTCTTCGCGTGGGGCCCGGACGATATGCCAGGCATCAGCCGCCAGGTGATTACTCACCGGCTGACCGTCGATCCGGCCTCCACGCCCATCAAGCAGAAGCGACGCTACTTGTCCGCCGACAGGCGGGACTTCGTCAAAGAGGAGGTCGCCATGCTCCTCTCAATCAAACACATTAAAGAGGTGA